ATGGTGTGAGACCGTTACCGTTATCACCCGAGTTTCATTGTGGAATGCACAAGCAGCCCAATCTTCATACCTTATCGTATCTTTCATGGGACGCTCTCCAGCCATTTGCTATCTCAGCCTTTATGTCGACTCTCCCGTTAATGACGTGTGGAACTCTTCTCCGCCTCGAAGCCAGCGCGATCGCTTCCTTCAAAGCATCATATGTAAAGGTTTGGTGTTGAACAGTCCCTTTTTTGAGAAGCGCCACGCTATCTTACTTTCATGCAGAGTCGTAGTGGCATCTGACTACGAGCGGGGTTGACTTGGGATTCGACATCTGACCAACCGCAACGTAAGTGATGCCATTTCCGCATGGTTCGTAGGCATTCTCTACAACTAGGGAGGCCGCGTTCTTACGCAGCAGTTTTGGAGAAGCGTATCACTGTGGAGGAAAGGTGTGGGTCCACCTTGTTTAGTGGGATAGGCAATATGGCTACATGCAATTTCCTTCGCTCAAGAAGAGAGTTTACGAATCAGTTTCCGTGAAGAGTTTGGGTAAATATTGATCTGTCCATTAGATTGGACTCCGATTTTCCCCGACGTTCTAAATCTCGATTCACCCGAGGCGCAGGGTGTTAACCGTAGCAGCAGTGATCTAACCAACTAGTAAAGTCAAGGGGAGCAGGAAATGTGCCATAATGCAGACAGTGAGAATTACATTAGTTTGAAAAGGAGCGCAAAGTTGCGGCTCGGAATACTAAGGGATTTTGAGCAGCGGAGATCGGAAGGCCCCTCGAAGCCGCGTTCTGCGAAGGTCCGTCTTTTACTGCGTTGTAGTCTCTTGATTCTCCGAAAGCGAATCTGAATCATGATCAGCAACGCCTTGTATCGCCAGTGCACTGTTTACCACCATAATCGAAAAATAGTGCTATGAAATCTAAGCAAGTCTTTTCAGGAATGCATTTCGGAAATGTTATATACCATACAATCATCACATGCATGGCTTTATCCGAGTAAATGGCATGGGAAGCGGGAGATGGAATTGAAGTAAGCTTTTGAAGCATTTAGAACGAACTATTGCTATGGACTTGAAGGTACAATTCGCGATAGATTGGCTTGTTAGATACTGCGCTTGAAAATGGAAGTGTGTGCGAATTGAACCACCTGTGGAAATGAAAAAACTGAGAGGTACCCAAGAAGGAGAAGGAAAAAAAGCGCTTCCTCCTCTTTTGAGCGTTGGGCGAGTCTGTAGGACAGACAGAAGGAGCAGATCCAGGCAACCACTGCGGTGGAGGTGAGGGAATAGACTGGAGACGAGGTGGAACGAAAACGTAGACACGTCGCAGTGGTGGGCAGCCGGAGCCCAACCAGGCGGTGGAAACCCACCTGTAACTGCAAGCAGCAAGCACCTGGAACCTTTACGATGCGCTTCTGAGTCACAAAAGACGCGCCACCTGGCGACTGCGGACCCATCTATCCTTCTCATGGGAGATTCGTTCCTGGAATTTGCCTCCAACTTGTAATGTAACAGATGAGAGGGAATGGTGCCCATGGTTAAAGGAATCTTCGCGAAAGAAGCTCCGCCTCCATTACCACAGAAAAACGATACCTTAGGCCCCTAGCCTCATGAGCATAGCAAAAAGAACGGAACATAAGCGTTAGTTTCGATAATACTAATCCTACACACAAGACAAAATGATCACTCTTTCCGTGGAAGATTCCTTTAAGGTATCGTTTTCTGTGGTAATGGGGGCGGAGCTTTTTCCGTGGAAGATTCCTTTAAGGCGCAATTGGCCTCTGCTAATATCGTCAAGGTATTAGATCTAATCTCGCCCAGGAAAGCGAAGACTTACTGTCCTCCCACCGAGGCGACTTGGATTGACACTAGCCGGCTCGGTAGGAGGAACAAAAATAGGCGCTATAGCAAGATAAAGGGGCTTTTTAAACTAAGCCTACGAGAGCGCATGGAACTCATAGGGCGAAAGCAAAATTGCTCATGTATCTGGATCTCTCCTCAGACCTCCGAAGCTTAATCCTTTTTTGACAAAAGTGCAGAAGTTTCACGTACTTGATTGCCACCCCCTTATCTTGCGATAGCACTCGAAAATATTCGAAACATCGGTAGACTCACAGCTCACTCACAGATCAGATAAGCAGTCAACACCTCTGAATTTCTGGGCAGAAAGCGAGGGTGTGGCGTAGAACAGAGTAGTGTGACAAATTCTTCGTTTAATTTAATTAACCTTAATTCCAGCCCCACCTTGCTGAAGGGTATCATCAGTAACAATTTGCTTACAATGGAGATTACAGCCACTCAGGTACAGATCTTCTGGCTAGTCAGCAGGAAGTGGGCGCGCGCTCGAGAGTGGGCTAAACTGGTTACAAGGCTTCTGTCAACCAAAGGGTGAGAGCGTAGCTGGAAAAGCACACACTTTGTGTCTTATTGGGACTAAGCCTTTTGAAGAAGATAAAGAAAGAGGAGATGCTGTGATAGTGTGCACTTGTGAGACATCACTACAAAACGCTGAACGCCAAGCCTCACGGTTGACAGAAGTCCTGAGCCGGCTAGACGCTGTTACATGTGATACGTTCCAAGACAGGCCTCCTAGCGACCGCGCGCTCCACTTTTTTCGAATATATGACCATAATATGGCAAATATTAACGCTTCTAATTATAAGATTTTCCTCTAGTTCTATAATTCAGATCCTTTGCTTCCTCACTCTGCGCCAAATAACAGCCTTCGAGAGCATACCGTTCTGTCGTTTTCGTCTGCAGGAAGATAATGCAACAAGAAAGTCTGAGGTGAGGTATGCGCTCATTTTAAGGCACTAGTGGCGATGAGATACTCGTAGCAATTTTTTGCGTTAGGCGGACACCAGCCCCTAAGCATAGGCTTACGAGCAGAGCATCATTTTTCAATAATATTAGTCGTGTCGTGACCCAAAAATGCGCAACAAACGCGCTAAAGCCTTGCCCTGACTGCTACAACCCCTGCCAATTCGCGATGTCTGCGTCCTCTCGTGCGACGTGCTCTCTCGCCTACGCCCTCTCTTCACTGTGCTGTGTCTCTCCGTCGTATTACTGTCCACATCAGAAGAAGGGGATTCTCATTTTCAATATTTTTATGACTCCTTTTGCTTATTCCTTCGTACACCAGACGATTTGAGTGTGTGAGAATTGGCGAGAGTCCTCGTTTGTACGCTGATACTCCCATTTGCCCAGGCTCTCGCTGGCCTCACGAGCCCGGAAAGTAGTGAGGTCAAAAAGGGATATGGCAAAGGCTCTAACCACCTTCAAAGGCTTTTCAATCGCGCGGAGTTTATGAAACCGTTGATGAAACACTCGAACCGTTGGCGTATCATTTGCACTGCTGGCGCACCCCTCGTACCTAGCGAAGCGCTAATTGCAAAGCCTGCCACATCGGCCTCATAATCCGGCCTCTCTTTACAGTATTCGCATTCCGCCTTCTTCAGTATCCAATCCGATAAACCATCTATTTTGAAATGTGCCAAATTTGCAGACGATAATATGGCCTGGACATATGCTGCAGAGAAACCCGTCCATGATTGACGAGTATCTTGGCGAAAAATATGAATGCGCTTTTGAAAGGTACTTTGGCTAATTTTCTACTCTAAATTTTTCAATTTAGGATGAGGGCTGTTTCGTGCCAGCAGAGCTGCTAAGCAGTGCATCAGTGTTTGCAGGGGCTTCGACTGTGATTGGTTGGACAAGCCCGCCGACCAATCACAGTTGAGGCATTTTTGTTTGCGGCATCTGCTGCTATACCCCTAACATTGGCTTCTACGGTCTTGCTGCTCAGCGGCTCTTTGATAGCTTGATACGGATGGCGACTATATCGCTCTGAATTCTCTACTTACTTATTCTTCAGCTTTTGCCCGGATCCTTGTTGTCATGGAGTTCATTCGTCGTCGGAAATCTTTTCTTCAAGAAAATGCGCCCTCAATAAGTGTGTACGTAGAGATCGATGTAGTGTTGAGGTATTTCCTTGAGTTGTAATCTTTTATAGCTTGATTTAATCAGCCGCGCGGTCGCTCTGTCTGCTGGAAAAAAGGGTTTGCGCGCCACTTCCGGGTGACGTCCTAGCTTTATCACTGATTCTTTTTCGACTTTAGACATAGTTGGTGTGACGGGGGTCTTCATCAGCCGGCCTGTCAACCTGGGCCTGACGCTGGTACTAGAACCATTTTTGCAATTTTGCACAGGGCATGGTTAACCTCGGCAGGGATCGAACCCGCGGCTCTTTAGAGGTGCAGACATGAGCTCACACTTTCAAGGTGTAACGCCCATACGTAAAAACAGGTTGCCATGCTGCCGAATTAATACTTGATCCTTCCAAATTCTCTGTTCAGCCAGAATTTAACGATGATTTTATGGCAATAAGAAGGAATCGTTGGAATATCACATGTCCATGTGGGCGTGGACTGATGTATAGAGCCGAC